TTTCATCTAGATATATTTAAAACAAAATCATCTTCATCTTATTTAATATGAATTTACATATTTTTACCTCATCTTTATCTAGCTAATTTTTAAATCATTTAAACACAACACTGATCATAATAAATTGAATAATTGTAAATTTTAGCAATATAATTAAAAAATGAAGTTTCTAATAAAAATAATCATTTTTGTTTAATTAGGAGCTGCACATCCACATTTATTTATGTAATGAATAGTTTGAGTGCTGAAGTAAATAATAACATTATGTTTATAATATGGATGACAGCTAGAGAGAGATAAATATACATATCCCAAGTAGCAAACTGACGTCATCAAACGTCAAAGTGATTTTGACAAAACATCATGGCGGACACTTGTTAGCCAGTTTCTTATTAGAAGGTCTCTAGTTTAACATTACCTGAAATGACATTTACAAAAGATGATCTCGGCAAGAGATCCCCGAAAGACACGTGAAAGTCCCAGGTAGCAAGCGTACGTCATTTTGACGTCGAATGACATCATTGAACATCGTTTTCGAATCTCTCGAACGAGAACGATCGGTTTCGTTTGATTTACGATTTCCCTCGAAAATGACTTAACAAGACGAAGCCTGGATCGATCGATCGTTAATGAATGGTAAGCATTTGATTTACGGCGTAAGATCGCGTATCTTTGGAAATGGATCGTTCAAGAAACGTGTCATCGACGTCATGAAATAACCTCTCTGTATGAACGACGAAATCGATCATCGCGGGTCGATCCGCATCGATGCTCTCGTCGATAGAAACTTGGTATTTTTAGCGTAAAACCGCGTAAAATCGAGTATCGCGAGAAACCGTGAGATTAACCGAGATTAGACCAGCGAGAGATATCGATCCGAAGCGAAGACCGGAGCAACGAGATCGACGTAATGAGAGTCCGCCTCTGGGAGTGCCCCAAGTATGTTGGCTGAACCGAGAGTTTACTCGGTGTAATGATAATGAGATGACTTCAACTTCCTGTTTCACAGAGAAAGAGAGAGACGAACGAATCACATTATATGCATTCAGGATGCGTACAACGCGACGTCTTTTCGGTCAAAAGGTCATTTGGTCAAAAGAAGAAGAAAAAATTCATTCTCAAAAGTCTCGAAATGATAAATATATTAATGCTCGTGTATTTTTTAACAAATATAATAATGATCTTGATGTGTTAAATAGGCCAACTATCGAGCATAATTTATCGAGCAATATTTATTATTAATAAGAATATTTGTCAGTCAGCTCTCCTATTTTTAAAATATTTATTATGTTAAAGTTAATCGGAATAAAGGATAATTGCGATATTTCGAACCACTCCTTTCGCGGAAACCATATGTATCTAGAAACAGGAAACGCATCTCTCTTGGAGTAATTCGCTTGTAGCAATAAAACACATTCGCTGATGTTTATTATATAACCGAGTCGTAAAATAAACCGCCTTATGAATAAGAAATAAATTCACAGCTGGATAATAAATTTCGATTGTTGATAGAGTTGGGAGATTACGCTCGTGTGAATCTCCGCGAAGGAAAAGGTTTCTTTTCTCGCGATCTCGATTGCCATCGAGTTTCCACGATCAACAGAAATTATATTTTCTCCGCGACATAAAGAAACTTGTCAATTCTATATTAATGATGGATTAACACACGGAGAGAATTTTTCGTTATATTTTACTACAAAATACAAATTTTCTCATGTTTGGTGATAAGCCGAAAATTATCACGTTGCATTTTTAAATTTAAACAAAATATTTTATATTTATCACACACTTTTTTGGCATCGATTCTATTTAAAATTCTTAAAGAATCATAAGTTTTTAACATAGTTTTTAATTGAAATTTTACTCATATAGTTTAGTAAAATTAATCAAACATATTTATGTCTTATTGTGGTAGATATTAATATTTTTTAATCAGAGAAATTCTTATAAAATTTTTCCAATACCATATTGTCCCAAAATTACCACAATTTTCATGATAAAGTAAAAAAAATTCTTTCTGTGCAGTTATCAGTTAATAATATAAATCTGCCATTTAATATTTATAATTCTGAAAGAATGTGCGATAGCTATTAGGCCATTGTTACGGATTACAAAGAGCCTCATTAATTGAAGATGCATTAAACGAACGTATCCCGTATCCAGCTAGTAATTTATAAGCGCTACAATTATCCGCGACAATCGCCAACAATTGCTAATGTCCGCATTAAGTGGGATGCAATTAGAACAATTAGCGAATTTCAGATTAATCTTGCATTGTATTGGCGATACGAAACTGACGTCCCATAAATCAGTGCCCCGTGCACACTTTTAGATCCAGGAGACCCTTAGTCATCATCATCATCATAATCATCATCATCATTCTCATCATCATCATTTCATTAATTATTCTCGCAAATTTAAACGAAAGGGGAGCTCCCGCGATTAGAAAACTCGACCTTGAGCAAGTCGTTGATCTTATAGCCTACCCTCGATGCATTATGCATGATGCAGAGTCATCGACTCGACCGGGCGCATCTCTGCTTCGGAAGAGAAGGAATTTGTTGTCGTCGATATATATATATATATATAAAGCCGGAGAGTTTAAACATCTCATGTTGTCTACGAACTGTGCTGAGTTAAAAAAAAAGAGACAAAGAGAGAAAATCACAGCTTTTAAAAAAATTACAATCTTACGGACTTAATCCGCGCGAAAAGATTATATAAGTAACGTTCTTGTCTTGACGGGCAAACATTTTTATCTCGGCAAACAACGAAAGAGAGGTGGGATAATCTTGGCGGAAAGTATCTAATCCGAACTTTTCAGGTTAAAACCTGAAGAGGAGATATATGAGACTCGCGCACCTCCTTCTCTTTGCTGGATTATCTTCGTCTTTCGGCGAAGTCGTTGGAACTTGTCAGAATTCCCGGTACGCGAAATGAAACGTCGTGTGACTCACAATCATCTGTGTACTCTGTTTCTGCTCCACGGACAATGTTTGCTGTCATCTAAATAAAATTATATAGATGATCATCTAGATGAAATTTTGGCGTCATCTTATCTTTATATAAATAATAAAAACATCTCAAGTAACAAATTGACGTCATTCGACGTCAAAATGACATCATTTTGACGATTAATGACGTCAGTTTGCTACCTGGGATGTACTATCTATATTTGCGTCTTACAATTAGATAAAAAAAAATTGTTATCTTTATTAAATTATCTAGAATAATGTTCAAATAATTTGGTTCAGAGTCATAGCACATAAAAATACTTAAGTAGTGGAATTTAAGCAGTAAGCGATAAAAATTTGTAAATAAAAATATGAATACATTTTTATATCTCTTTTACAATTTATGTTTTTTTTATAACTGTGTTTACACATAAGCGGTCTTAAAAATAATATTATATCTGGAAATTATCTAGATGAATCGCCATATAATTTGATCTTTTATCTAAATCTATTTAAAACAAAATCATCTTCATCTTATTTAAAAAAAAAAATGAATTTACATATTTTCATCTCATCTTTATCCAGCTTAATTTAAAAAAATCTTCTAAACACAACACTGTGGAAGAGCGAAGACGCCCACGTCTCCTTAGCGAAAAAGAAAAATTGCGCCCGCCCGGATGTTTCGCCACGCGATTTTCCCTGCATACGTTATTTATTACTCCAGGAAGTGTTCTTCGCGCGCCGGGCCCACGAGCTGACTGTGCGAAAATTAAGTCGCTCGTGTAAATTCCTGCATGGTCGCGCGATCACGCGGTGCAGTCGTTCGATTTGCGAGACGCGAAGAAATTTGCATAACGGTGATTTTACGTCGTCGTTCACATCAGGATTTTGTCTACGCCATGGAAAACTAGAATAGAAATACCACAAGCGAGACAAATTATTATCGAGGGAAATAATACACAGAGAGAATTTATACCGAAAATCACGGTGGTATTGGAAGAATTTTATGAGTTTCTCTGATTAAATATTTACCCCAATAAGATATAAAATATGTTTAATTAATTTTATACTTTTTTTTTCTTAGAATTTACCCTGAAAATCATGGTAATCGTGAAACAATATGGTGCTGGAAGAATTTTATAAGACTTTCTCTGATTAATATTTGCCATAATAACAAATATTAATACCTATCTCAATGAAATGTAAAATACCTATGTCTATAAGATATAAAATATATTAGAAACCAAAAGTATGTTAAATACTCGTGATTCTTTAAGTGTTTTAAATAGAATAGATGCAAAAAAGTGATAAACACATAAAATATTTAATATGAATTTTAAAATGCAGGATAATATTTTCAATCGAGCTTAATCGCTCATGATAAATTTAACATGCAGCATGGTAATTTTCAACTTATTATCAAACACGATAAAATTAGTGAATTTTAATGTTAATAAAAATAATAATGAGTAAGAGTAATAAATAATAGTAATAAAAAAAAATAAATAATAATAAGTGAGAGTAATAAATAATAGTAATAAAAAAAAATAAATAAGAAATAATAGTAAATTCTAAATGTTCGATGTGAAATATACGCAATTGCGTTTGCGAGCAATGCGTCGACTTGTCTCTACTTGGACGCGCTTGTCTTTCCAGAGCGTAGGCGGCAATCAGCTGGCGAAACAAGAAGGATTATCCGAGGCGGACAATCGCGTTTATACCGCGACGGGTTTTAAAGAGCGTCGTAAACGGGACGCGCGCCGATAGCGCGGAATGGTATCAAACGCGGTCAACGGAAGGTCAGCGGCTTGAAACGAGTCGTAACCCCGTGTTTCCCACGTCGCCATTCGCGGAATGCCATTCCTCGTCGCGAAAAACGGACGATCGACAGGTGCACTTGATGCATAAATGTGTATATTTTGCCGGATATCGAACGGTAATAAATTTCTAAATACCCACCTACTTGTGGAAACTCTGAAAACTACTGTATACTTATATTCGCTATAACTGTAAACGCGGTAAATCATTCACTCCGAAGAAACATACCTTTCCGAGAAACTGGCCCTTGTAGTAAGCGTTTCCCTGCACGGGGTCGACCACGTAATCGCTCTCCTGCTGCTCGGTGGAATTATTCCAGGATGAGGACGTGGAAGGACCCGGCTTCGCGACGCTGGTCGCTCTTAGAAGAGAAACGGTCGCGTTGCCGAAGCGGCCGCCGTTGGTCGTCGACGTGACGTTGCTTCCCGTAGTGGTGGCCGCGTTGCTGGCCGACGAGGAGACATCCTGGGTCGGATTCGAGGTCGTGGTTCGCGGCTCCTCCTCGTTCCGGAAGACTGCCGTGTCCTTGGTCGAGTCCGCTGGAGCGATGGGGTAGACGGCCTGCCTCGAGGACAGCTCGATCTCCGAAGGTAGGGACGAGCCGCCGTGCCTGCGACTTCTTCGACGAACCAGGCTCTGCAGAGAGGCGGAGCCCTTGGAGAAGCCCTGACGAGCCGAGCGAGCGTCCGGGACGGACCTGGTGCTGCCGGTCCCAGCCGAGTCGATCCTCCTCTTCGAGCATTCCGGCTCCGAGACCGTGCGGATGGTCTCGTCGAACTCTTCGCGGCAACTTCTCGTCGTCTCCGGGACCAGACGACCGCTCATCGCGAAGTTGGAATCGATCACGCTCGGTGGTGACATATCCTCCGAATCACACCGCGTCGATTCTATCTCGTTCCGTGCAATTCGCGCGAATTGCTCCGACCTCGTCATCGACGCGTGGGAACGATCTACATGATTTACATCTCGACGCGGCGCACTTTGGAAATTGTCCGATCTGGGTTGACGAGACGTCGATCGCGGGGCAATTTTAAGATTCTTCCCCGAGGGGAGATCTCGCGTGCGAGAATGTATTCGGCATCGTAGTATCTAGGTCGATAAGACGACTATAGAACGCGGACGTCACGACGCCGACGCGTCGGTGCGTCTGACACACGTGTCCAGCATCATATCCGGCTCGGATTCAATAATTGCAGCGAAAAACGATTGCGAAACTCCGTCCTCGGTTCTATCCGCCGTGACGTCTATCCACTAGCGACGATATTGGCGATATTCTTGTTGCGCGAAATATATACGAGACCTTCGGGAGGAGAGAATATCGACGTCCGCGGCAGCCAGCATCCGCAGCGGAAACGTGTAATACCGTGAGACAACAATGACACGCAATGCCGTTAAACGACGCGTGAAACTTGTCTTCTCGCCCTCTTGTCCGATCGATTCTCCGTCGCTATTTCTGGACCGATGTTAATGAAATTGTCACATCGCGTTTGCCTTTGGAGCAAGACCGGGCGTCCTATCGATAGTTTCGCACCCGCCCGATAGTTTCGGATGCCACGAGTCCGCTAATCGTGCAAACTCCGAAACGTTGCACCAGAAGACGCTAGTCGAGATGACCTTCCATGAGAGGGTCCTTCCACCGAAGCTCGATATTCCTTTCGCGTATAGAGATAACAGATAACTCCTCGCGATTCGATGTTTGCGAGCTCCTCGACGACACGAGCTCCTTCACTCGAGCTCGCTCGAGCTCGCTCGACCCGTGGCTGGTGTACGAGTTCGCTCGCCACTGTTCGCCGACCCGACGACCGACACCCTCTGTCTCCGCTTCTGCTGTCCCCACCATGCGCGATGCCAGGGACGTATAGTCAAACGATGGTGGAGGAGAAGCTCGTGGAATTGAAGGTATTGTCCATCTAACGCTTTCGCCTAACGGGCTGAATCTAAAAATTGGTGTTTCGATCATTTTCAGATATCGATCAATTCCTTCAACGATATTTCTGTCACTTGTGGAGGATTCTTGAAATATTAATCCCAGGTAGCAAGCGGACGTCATTTTGACGTTTCATAATGTCAGTTTGCTACTTGGAATGTCATTGAATATTAAAATAACGTCATTAAACATTAAAATGACGTCATTTTAATATTCAATGACATCCCAAGTAGCAAACTGGCATCGTTAAACGTCAAAATGACGTCGGTTTGATGTTTAATGACGTCAGTTTGCTATCTGAGATCATTTTGACGTCGAATGACGTCCCAGGTAGCAAACGTATACGTCACTTTGACATTTAACGACGTCATTTTGGGATTATTGAACGTCAAAATGACGTCATTGAACGTCAAAATGACATTTTCATGTTCAATGACGTCAGTCTGCTACTTGCCTAACAACACACCGCCGAAAGATGTTCAGAGGACATCCAGATGATGTTTGGATGTCCTCGCTGGATGTTTTTCGGATATGTTAGGGTTTTGTTAGGGTTGAAATATTACTTCGAATAATAATATATTAAACCAAATTGAATACTTAAAACGTCGCTAGTGGTATTTAAAATAGGAACGATATATTAAATTTGACCTAAAAACTAGCCAAGAAATTTTTATTTTATTTCCACAACGTTTCGACCATCTGTTTTTGGTCCTTTTCAAAAAGATCCTTTTCAAAAGGACCAAAAACAGATGGTCGAAACGTTGTGGAAATAAAATAAAAATTTCTTGGCTAGTTTTTAGGTCGAATTTAATATATCGTTCCTAATATATTAAACGTATGCGAAAGTGGCAGTAATGCACACATGACGTCGACATTTTCGTCGTGATATGTAAAATATGCATACTCCCAGGACGAATGCGTTAAAAAGCGCAGAGGGCGAGTGTCCGTTGTGGCTTATTAAGATGCAAGTGTCGCATCTGACCCGTAAGGGAGCGGAATACATTGGGTATGCGCTTATGCCATTTGCGCTGTCCCACGAAGTTGTGGTAGACGCTTAAATAAACGCGTCTAACGTAATATAAGAGAATTCTGCGCTGCGGTGCACCGTGAGAAAACGCATTGTTTCCATGTACAAAGAAAGCACTTCGCATATTCGACTTGCCTTCTTCGACGAGGATAAAAGTTCGCTCGTCTAAACGAAAGAATAAACTATCTACCTGTCAAGATAGTTAAAGAGTCCTTTGTCGAAGGACGTCGACGTACAATGGACCGTTAAATGCGACAGTACAGTTGTCATTCATCGTAAAGAACGTCTTCGAGATATCTTTGTAAACATAATCAGGCGATTATTTTTTCGAGAGAGAAAAATTCGAAAGAATATTTCAGAAAAATTCTAGAACTTATCGAATATATCGACAAATTCTTAGATCAATATTATTGTAACTCGAGATTAAAAAATAACTTGAAATTAAACACGTTTGTAATATTTTTAATTCTTTCGCACGTGAGAAAATTATATGGATAATAAATGCGCGTGATATAATAAATTACAGTGATTACTTAAGAATGTTTCCAATGTTATCTTATATAAGAAACATGCCGATGCAACTCAAACACGTGTTGCGTCTAGATTGTAAACAAGATGAAATGATAAAAAAACGCGTTTTGCACTCATGAATCACGAAATGTAGATTTCTACCTCTCGATACGCGCCTCTTTTTCATTATTGTTTATGCGAAAAGCCGGAGTTCTTGTCTTTCATCGTCTTCCCCATCTTCTTGTCCTTATCATATGTGTACAATGACCATATTTTTTAAACGAAAATAAAGGACAAATTTGAAAATTTTAACCATTCAACGTGTTTCCAAATCAATTTGCGATCAAAGTGGAGATTGACGAGCAAAAGAAATTCTGTGACTATCAGAAGTCTACGTTCTTATTCTTATAATTGAAACAAACCCTTGGTTTCTTAAACAGATTCCTGATAAGAGAGAGTCCTCTTATTTCAAGTAGCTGTCCTTTAGATTAGATTTATTCATTTTTCCAAAACTCAATTTTCTCCTTTATTTAAAAAATTTCTCAAGTAGCAAACTGGCGTCATTTTGACGTTTAATGACGTTATTCGACATGAAAATGACGTCAGTTTGTTACTTAGAAAAATTTAAAAATAAAGAACAAAATTGAGTTTTCGAAAAATGAATAAGTCTAAAGGACAACTACTTGAAGTAAAGGACTGTCCTCTAAAATAAGGGGCGGATGATCACTGTGAGGTCGATTAAGATGAAAACGCGAATCGCCTCGAATATGTTCGTACGTACCTGCATTTCCACTGTATTCGCTTCGTTGTCCTCGTGCCTTCCTCCAACCTGCCGTCTCCTTCACACCCATTCGCTCCCGGTTGCACTTTCTCCTTCCTTCTTCGCTTCCCTCGTGTGTGCCGGCGCTCCATCGCCGTCAAACCCGGGATAGCACGCATCGTTCCGTCATGCGTATTCGGTCATTCACACAAGTGAATACCTGTTCCAACATTTCAGATGCATTAAGTGCGTATCTAAATATAGGAGCGAGGATAGAAGAGGACGAGACGCGAGCGCTACGCTTCGTTTACTTCTAGAAAAATATATGTATGTGTGTATATATACTCGTATATATACATATATATGTACTTTTTCAAATCGACTTTTATTTATAACGGGTAGGTCCCCCTTTATTGCTTTCGAATTTTGACTTGTATCGTATTGCTCTCGAAACAAATCGTTCATATATACAGGATACATTATGTAAGTAGAGTACAGAGAGATCCGTCTGCTGTGTGCCGTATTTTATATTAGATATTCATATCTATTTTATTTTATATCAGAACGGAAAGTACTTTGCTGCCATGAGAAACTTTATTTCATATCGATTCAAATAAAATTTGTTCAAGTGTATGTGTGTATTTTATTATAAAAAAAGGAAATTACAATTAATTCTAACAAAATATGTGATCAGAAATTTTGCACGAAATATATTAGGAAACAGTAAATTCACTATAATGGCATGTAAAAAAATGAGATCACAAACAATGCAAAATTCTGTTAAAATTAATTGATTAAAATATGACTTATTTTGTAATGAAAAATATGGTCTGCATATCTTAATTATTTGCATAGGACAACGTTTTTTCTGTATGAACAACGCTCGAGCTAAAAAGTGTTAGAAAAACTATGGCACAATCCATACATATATTTTGCTGTCGTGGCATGTTAGATCGCATTACTTGCATCGCTTATTTGAGAGTTCCGATTAAGGTTCGTTGAATTGGAAGTAGCAATTAATGTCATCTTTAATAACGTTCGACACGTCACGTAGCCGTAAATTTTTATAACATGAAAGTACGATAGGAGAAAGCGCATTCTATCAAGTTTCTAAAGCTACATAAAATTCTATTATTATTATATATGTAGTCATGTCGTCAACAGATAATCCATTTACATATAAATATATAATGAACCTTTCTATTTGTTCTCTCGCGGATTCTGAAACTTTAATCGAATATCCAGGTGCTTAAAGAAGAAAGTATGAATTCTACTTGACGAGAGAACAATTATCCCGCGGTATATCTTTTATTCACCAACAAAATTCTTAATCCGGCAAACAAAAAAATACGAGAAATGTGTGTCGCGGGAAAAATTGATCCTATCGGAATTAGATACAGGGTGTCCTAGAACTAGTAGTATATCTGTTAATGACAGATTCCTGGGATAATTTGGCGACGATTTTTCCTCAACGAAAAAATCGAGACTTCAATAATTTTCGAGTTATAGGCGATTGAAAATAAAGAGTTTTTCTCATACTAAGCCTTGTGGAAATAAAATATTAACATTTTTTTATTAATTTAGAGCTTACTTTAATAGAATTTTAATTTAAGGTTTAATTAAATGATGGCAAAAATTGGAAACATGCAAAAAATGAGCCCGAGGAAAAATCGTCTCCAAATGATCCAACAAATCTGCCATTAACAGGTTATTCGCGAATTTTGGAATTCCCTGTACTTGTGTCAATTTATTGTTACCATAAATATAAATGATTGACGAAATCGCGACATCGAAAGACGTCAGAAATTGAGAATCTGTATTATTAATTTTCGGACAACCTGTTTAAAAATAGATTAATTACTTCGTTATTTCGATAAAGCTCCATTATCTCCAGTATTGTCAAAATGAATGAAGACGAACAGTTCGTCCGCGTTGAGGTGGAAAAGAAAGACATGACGTAATTTCGCTCCGGAAATAGCAAGTGCGACGCTTCTTCTTCTTCTTTAATTTATTAGTCTTTACTGACCTTAGAAGGTCTTGTCTAGTCGACCATTGGACTTGGACGTTGAAGAGTATCCTTCCTTCTCGTGCAAGTGCAAATATGTTAAGTATGAAGTGTATAAAGTATGAATATAGCACCTGACGCGCGTGCGCGCGCGTTCGCGCCATCGCACGTGCAACGACGAGATATCGAACTTCTCGATATCGATATCGATATCGAAGGAAGGTGAGAGTCGCAGCGCGACCTGTCGTCGGGTCACGAACCAAGTCCAAGGAACAGGCGTCCTAGAAACGAGATGACGGAGCTGACGCGTAGTTGTCGAATGGCAGCAAGAACAGCTGGTTGATAGCGATGAACGTTTCAAGGTAGTGGTTGGGTGCGATCTCTCTCGATGACGTTGCAAGAATCTATTGCGCATCGAGAATGTATATATATATATATATATATATATATAAAGAAGAGATATTATTAATGAGCGTCTTTTTTAATCAGGACGACTATTATTGCGACTGATTAAGAGAGAGGAAGACGCGGAGAGCCTATGGGCTACGGTCACAAATGTTTTGTTTCTGCGAAATCTAACCTACTTCACGCACGCGATAACGCTGGCGTGTGTGGACTCGTATCGTCCAGCGCTATCGCTGACCGTAAGATGACTTCATCGCTCCGCGACGACACTTCCTTGTTTCTTTGTCAGTATCATCGCGACGTCCGCGTGTCACGAGCGTGATCCGAGTAATATATTCCAGGACGGCGACGCGGACATCTCCGGAGGCTCAGGTTCGCGACTCCGGCTGATCCTCCGCCTCTTTCTCTTTCACGACGTGAAGATGCCCCAGCGACGACATCGCCGGAGAAGACGTATTTTCGCTGTGACGTACCGTGTCGATAGCGCGCAAGATGAACTCGTTGCTGAAGACGGTCAACTCTCTAGCGAGCAACAAGAGGAACTTGCTGGTCCGGGACTCCTTGCAGAAGCAGCTCAACACGAGCGTCATGGAGATGCAGAGCGCACCAGGAGTCGCCGACGACGGTGTTGTCGGCAACTGCGACGAGACCATGACCCTATGCTCCGTGCTCGAGGCCATCTTTCTGCACGGCTTGAAAGACAGTCTGCTGAATCGAGTAACAGAGGCTCTCAGCGGTCCCGACTTCGACGCTATGCCGCAGCCAAGCTTCTGGGGTCCGTTGCTTGTCTTCTCTCATCGTCAGATCATAGATCAGATACAAGCGTTGACTCAAGTTACTACAGAAGTTGGGTATTGTCGGGCTTGGATACGATTGGCGCTCAACGAGGGTCTTTTAGCTAGCTACTTTTGTTCCATAAGGAGGGACAATTCGGCTCTGAAGCCGTACTACAATCGTTCAGCCTACATAAGGGATCTAGATCTTGTTGAGGTTGCCCAAAGATTAATAGAAAACTTGGATTATATACGATTTGAGTTGGCTTGCAATAGTAGCCTTTTGAACTTCTGGTCCAGCACCCCTTTGCTGATAGCTGGCATTTGGTCACCTCCAATGAAATCCTGTCCCGTATTCAGTGCAGTGGATATTGCGAAAACCATAACTTCCGAGTTGTCTGACAACTTTGACGAAATAGAAACTGCAAGTTCTATCGGTAGTTCTATCGGAATAGGATCATTCACCTCGTCGCAATCAATGTTTAATAACGTAGCATCCATCACTGAGGACGAGGCGTTGAAAATTATTCTAGCTAACAAAAAATCTGATAATATTGTTCAACAAGTGCATAGCAATCCTGTGGATACTGTAGCAAGCGGAACACAGGAAAGCAATATGACTCAACAGTTGCACAGTAATTCAGCAAATACTGTGATAAAAAGCGAAATGGCAGATAAACAAGAGGTCAGGAAAGTACAACAAATGTCAAATGGTAATGCGGAAAAAAAGGATGCAGATAATATTGCCGCTGATATGGAAGATCCACCGTCACAAAATACTCTGAGAGGCAACGATATTATTAATGACACAACCGCGGCCGCTGTAGGAAATTCATTAATAGGAAAATTAGGGTGGTCGACGTCATTCGAAGATTGTCAGTCTTCTTTAACTTCGTCTGTGATATCTCATGGATCTGCAAAGGATGCGCCTCGCACACCCGGCGATGGTCCTACGTACGATGCGCTTATCCAAAGTTACCAAACTGCTGGAAACAGTACTGTGTCAGATGTGCAAGAATTTTTTAAAAAATATCCTAAAAAGGAGGAGACTGTTGAGGAAGGATCCAAAGTTCAACCGGAGCCAAAGGTATAAAATATTTGTGAATTTTAAAATACAATTTTGTCGTTAAAATTTAATAAGATTAAATTATCTAATTCTTGTTTATGCGTTGTTTTTCAGATTGCGGTAAATTTTGAAGAACAACTAGGTAATATCGCAAGGGAAAAAGGTTTAGACACTCAAAATTACAGTTGTCTCGATTGCGGTCAGGCAATCGGCATGACCTTTTCCAAAGCGCACGTGTGTTCATTTTCGGGTGATTACTACTGTTCAGAGTGTATGGCAGAAGCTCAATATCTCATACCGTCGCGTATGATTCACAACTGGGATTTAAAACAATATCCTATTAGTCGAAAAGCTGCTGCGTACCTAACAGGCGAACCGGCCCTGTTGGATCTAAAGATCCTGAATCCAAAAATTTACATGGCCGTAGACACCATGGCTCAATTGCAATCCTTGCGTATTCAGTTGAACCTGCTGAGAGCGTATCTATTCACGTGTCGCGAACCCATCATCGAGTCTTTGCAAAAGAAGGTCGCTCCTAGAGACTATTTGTACGAACATGTTCATCAATATTCCGTTTTAGATCTTCTTGACATACCAAATGGAATTCTCGCGCAACAGCTTCAAAAGGTTGTTGAGTTTGCAAGGAATCATGTAATCAATTGTTGGCTCTGCAGTCAGAAGGGTTTTATATGCGAAGTCTGTAATAATACAAAGGTCATTTATCCCTTCGATATGGAATCCACATTTCGGGTAAGCAATGCATCTTCGTTTGTGCGTTGTTTCGTCCATTTTTTTTCTCTTCTCTATTTGAATACAAATCTTACAATAATCGATTTGTTTGCAGTGCGGAGCGTGTAATGCCGTATTTCATACAGATTGTTTAAACGCAAGTAAACCGTGTCCAAAGTGCGAACGCAGACGTAAACGGATGGACATGCCTCTTTTAGATATGGGATGTACAGACCTACCGCATAATAGCCTATCCTCTTCTCTGATTGACATGAATTGATGTACATTATTTGATATGTTTATACTGACAATGTGTTATCGTCTTTTTAACGCGCTTAAGCAGTATTGTTTGTATAATTTGTATTCCAGAAAATTAATTTCGCTAACGCGCAATTACCTATACAACTTTAATCTTGAATCTATAAATCTCGATTTCTTCGTGTAAATATTATATCTATATTATATATTGTGCATAAAAGTGTATAGAAATATATCTTTATATATCTTTTGTCAGTTCTTCGAATATTTTTGTTACAAACTTTTACTCTGAAAAAAGATATTTGTACCTTATTATCTTACGAGATTGGCAGCTTCTATGCGTAGACAAAATTATATACTTGTACTATATTATGATCTTAAGACCGTGATTATTACATATACATGTGTGTGTACATGTAGATATATATATATAATTATATATATGCACATATACATATAGATGTTTATTATAATTTTATGTACAAAAATAGTAAAATATATAAAATCATTTGTCATCTTATCGTTATATTTATTATATTTAATACTGTTGCTCTATTTATGTAATTTAATAAACTGACATGCTTGATAAAATATTGAATTTAGTCGATACATTTGTACCTTGCAGCACATATTTTAAAAAGTTTTAAAAATTTTGTCTTTATACAATATTACAATTAATGAATGATTTCTCGTGCATTTTAATAAAATTGTACAATAAGTACACACAAATATACATATATATATATATATATATGTGTGTGTGTGTGTGTGTGTGTGTGTGTGTGTGTGTGTGTGTGTGTGTGTGTATGTATAATAAAATAAAATTTTCTAATCTATTTTACAACATAAAGGCACATTCTTTCGTTTGTATTAAATGGCCTTACTTGACCTTTTACAGTGTCGAGTAAAATTAGAGAGCTCTACATATATATTCTACTTTTCAATTTTTCGTTTATATATATATATATATATATATGTATATAAAGATATTTATACAACTATCATATAAATCTACTATCATGTAAAATCTACAAAGTTAAAATTATTTTCCAGGTACCTATTAGAATGTAAGTAATATGCTTTAAATATAAAAATAATTACAAATCTAATAATTATCTGAAAATTCATTATTTCCAATCAGTTGGATGGTAATTAGATCGTGACCGTGATTAATAAAGGAATTGTGTCATGTTAATCTTAAAATAACTGTTTCATATTTATCGATCATAAAAATTATGTTTACTTTGCAACAATATTTGGCATTTAATAATTAAATCTCTACAATTTACAAGTATGTTAGAAACACATTCAGATTTAGAATTATCAAGAAAAAAAATTATTTTAATATTATAAATTGCTACTCTCTTGATTTATATATACATATATTATTGCATATTATTATACTTTTATGTAAATCTCGAATTATGAACGAATTTGCTTAAATAATATTTATAAATTAAAGATAATTTTTCATAATAATTTTTATAACAATAATAATGTTGAAGTAAAATTGAATTGATCAAAAAGTTGACTAAAATGAAAAATGGAGAACTCGTCTGGCATTTTACACATATAATGTTGTAGTAAGCGAGATCGGAATGTATGCATGTATTATTATGTTGTGTATCAATATATACATATACGACACTATATTGTTATTAATCCTACATTGACATACTAAAGTTTGATTGTCACTAGTCAAATATATTATTTTTGTGTATAAAAAGATGCCAATGTAGGATTAAAATTATTCTAAAGTGTCTACTTTGTGAAAAAATCGTGTAAATAATACTTATTCTTACAATTATTTGTACTATCACCAAGATGACAAACTTGAAATATTGTCATGACAATGGCAATATCGCAGCTTTGTCATTCCTACATTTTGATTCTTAAAATATTCTGAAATACGAGTTCAACTCCTCAATTTTTACATCTTTCCTCCAAAAACATTGCATTTAATGCAATGTCTTGGGAAAATATGCCGAAGGTAAAATAGGTTTATCGGACAAACCTGCTCGCCTCAATCCGCCCTGCAAGCCGACGCTCGCGGTTTTCATTTTTGTGCCATTCGAGATCACCGTCGGGCCATTGTTATTCTCGATTATAGCCGGCGCCGAAGTCGAGGCCGGCGGATTTCCCGATGCTTTGTTCATCGCGTTGAAGCGCTCCATAGGTGTGCTGGTGCTTGTGATCAAGCCGCTCTTACTGAAGGTCGTTAAGCCTACAGAATTTTCCGTTACACCGACACCCATCGATCGAGCTGACGTACGAGTTTGATGAATATTCGGATTCTGCACGATAGGATTTTTCATCAATCCTGATATCGTACTAGGCTGTATCGTACTAGGCGCAGGTGTACGCGTTTCATATCGATTAGGAAATAATTTATTTGTCCTGGGTAATGTTAGTGGAACGGTAGATGGAATAACTGGAGCTGGTGTAATAGCACTTTGTAAAGGTGACTGATTGTCCGCTAGTCTCCGATTCAGCCAACTAATTACTGTAACAGTAAGATGAAAGATGTATTAATTTTCTCAATCGTACAGAAATTTTATCGAGAAAGTTAAGAGAAAAATAAATAATCAACTTTACCATTGTCATTGTTTTTTATTGTCTTTTCTTTTTCCTCCAATTGTTGTTGCAACGTTTTAATTTGTTCTTTTAGATTGCTCACTTCATTCTTTGCATCTTTGGTGTCTCTGACAAGACCCTCCATTTTAGTTTCTAATTGGCCGACTTCTTTTTGCTTACTGTCTAACAATCTTTCCTGTTCGAGCGCTATGCTCGTCCTTAATTTCAATTTAGATTTGGTTGATGCAAGTTCATTTTGTAATTTGGTTAAAATTTCATTGGCCTTCACCAATTCGTCGCTCAAGCCTCTCAAGGAATTTTGTTTGCGTTGCAATTGACTGTCTTTCTCAGTTAAAAGATCCTCCAAATGCTGTTTTTGTTCCTTACCCGTCTTTAGCATTTCCATGTGCTTGTTAATGATGACTGTTTTGTCTTTAAGCTCTTGTTCAAGCACAGCTACTTTTGTACGTAAATTATTAACAGCTTTATCTTTGTCATGATAATCTACATCTAATTTCGAATTTTGCTTCTTGAGTAGCGCCAAATCTCGTTGGGCGATATTAAGTTCCTTCTCGAGATTCTGTAGTTGCTTGATTTGCTCTATATTTGTAGCTTCTAAAAAGGATTGCTTATCCTTGAATGTTATGTTCTGCGTCCGTAATTCGGCAAGTTCTGTGTGTAATTGTTTCACAGTTTCAGAATGCCTTTGCTCAACCTCCATTTTCTCCTTTTCATTCTGTCGTTGCCATTCTAAGCGTGCTTGAGCCAATCTGAAATATTAATTAATCATATATATATATATATATATATATATATATATATGAAAATATTAATTTAAACTACATAATAAATGTACATGTATATACCTGTCTTTTTCTATACTTATTTGTTGGGAAGAATTAATTTGTATCTGACTTTTTTCAGCCAAATATTTTTGCTCCAAATGCTCCAGTTCTTTTACTTTTGCTTCTAGCTTACTTGTTAGATCGTTTAATCTAGTTTCTAAACCAACCACATCTCTATTCTGTTGTAACACATTTTCTTTTAAGAATTTAATCTTCATTGCCATGTGCGTCTTCAAATCGGAATCACTGGCAGGTGATATGTTTAAACTCAAGTGGCAAAGATGCTTAAAGTTATTTGTCTCCACAAGCTTAAAGTTCCAGTCTCCAGTTTCTTCTGCCAACAACAAAAGGAACTTTGGTGGAGTCTTCGACAGGCTTGTTCCTGGAATGTGACATTGCTCCAGCAAGCATATCAACTGGGTGGCAAAATTATCAAAATCAACCAGAAGACCCTGCTGCGCTTTCAGCACTTTGAAATCATCTTCGGTGATGAATAAGGAATAGAGAAAACAAGGATCATCGTCATCGGCTAGCAAAACGCACAAACTCTGAAAAGAGAAAAAAACCAAGACTCGATATATTCTACAAACCATACAAAATTCAACATATAATTCCTATTTATAATTATTTTATTATTTTCTATAATATAATTCTTATTTTCAACTACAGCTTTTGCTGAAAGAATTATATACAATCTTCATCATAAACACAAAGAATTAAAAGATGTGAGCCATAAACAAACATTCATACATCCAAGCTGTAAAAGTCAGCGGAATAAGAGATTCTTCCAAGCTACCTTACGACAAACCGGACTAATGCCAGCGTGAATCTCGACGTTGACTCTGAGATCCCGCTGGCGCTCCTCCTTATGCTGCGGCTTGACGTAAATCCTCTGCACCTTCGTGTAGAGAATCTCGACATTGTTCAGCTGCAGACCCGAGTCGACGGTCGTCGTGCCGCCTGCTATACTGTTCAGATAATTCATCGTTCGATCGCGCTCTCGGAAAGCACTTGTCGATCTCGCGTCGCTCACCGCGTCTCATTTGTCGGTGTTGCGGAAAAGTCCGGCCGAAACGCTTTCGAACATACGACACAACAAGCCGCTCTGCTTACATCGCACAAGCACGCAATTGACGCACGCGTATCAGACGCGCACGTACGCGCCTGTGCCGCCATCTCGACGGCACGCGTTGCAACTAACTTCACTCGGGATTAATTCTTTGACGTGAATCGGAGGCCCTTTCTTCCTTTTTTCGCTTTCGCGAACTTTCAAAAATGACGAATCCGGCGATTGGAATTTTGTGAGGAAAAAATGGATACCTATTAGCTGATATCGAGAACGCAATTTATCGCCATTTTTTGAAATTTTACACGACGTAACTGTCGTAAATTACACTCCGCCTTTCGTGCGCGTAGTAGTCACATACGCAAATCAGACGAGTCTATATATATACATTTGTGTCGCCATCTCGAGGGCACGCGGTGCAACTAACTGTACTCCATAAACGTAAAACACATTGTATACCTAGCGCGAGATCGCGTCGGAATCGGAATCGGGAGTCTCCTCTTTTTCTTTCGCGAGTGAATTTTATTTTTCCTCTTTGAGAGATTTCCCGGAGTTAGGACTTTACAAGTAGAATGAAGAATTCTTCGAAGGTATCGATCATAATTCATCTTCCATTTTTTAAATTTCTCTATTATTTTTGTACGCAAAAATATATCAAACGTGTGATGACTTGAAAGAGAGAGAGAGATAATTAAAGTAGTGGTAATTTTTGTCCGTCCAGTCATAATTATAAAGGAATAATTATTGCCAATCATTACACATTAATGATAATAAATTGATTAAAAATTGCGATTTATTTTTCAATGCATAATAGTCGATGCATAATATATAACCACACTAAAGTGCAGCAATCAGCAAGAAGTGTATATTTTGCTGCTTTCTTATTGGCTGGTCCCCTTGGAATCGCTGCGTTTTCATTGGCTTACAGCTTACTGTTAGTACTTCCTATACACGTTTATGTCGCCACTTGACGACACGCGTTGCAAGTTGCAGCTAATTTCCTCACTTCACCAGTTCCTAGTGAAAATCGCGTCGGAGTCAGAATTTTTCTTTTAGTTTTTCGTAAACGGATTTATCTTTCTCAAGGATCACGAATCGAACGATTAAAAGTTTATAAGTGAAGAACGAAAGGCCATTCAAAGGTATAACTCGCAATTGTGATCTTTCTTCTTTCTAAATTCGCTTCTAAAGATTGCGGTTGTTGTTGCGTACAATGGTTATAGTTTTGAACGACATATTGTTATTGCAAAGAAATATCAAGTGCATTTAAAAATTAGATATATTGTTGCCGAAGCAAGTGCCTATGATAATTAGATCGAGATAATTAACCGCGTTGTATTTTTCTTCAATCATAATTAGAGGAATAACTGTCGGTGTCATAAATTAATAATAATAAATTAGCTTGAGAATATTTCGTTTCTCTTTTCAACGTACGTGATAATAATTTCGCCTTTGTCCTTTAGCCTATGACTCAAGAAAATCTATCTTATAACGAATAGATAACAAAAAAATTCAAATTCGAGCAACTAATTTTTATTTTGTTAATAAATTATTACATATATATATAGCTACTATAAAATATAAATATTGTTGACGGATAAAAATTTATACACGCGTGATCGTAATAAATCAAGATAATTAACGCACATAATTGTCCTTGCTGAAAAGTATCAGCGTCACGTGAATCGACCGGGGTAAAAATAAAACGCTTCGGTTGTGCGCGAATACTTTTCGGTGCACGTATAGCCGGGAGCGTCTTTAGCTTCCCGCGCGATTCCGTTCGGCTACGCCGGATTGGCCAACGGTTCTCGCGGCGGCCAATAGCGGCGCGGCTCGGAGACGGTGACGTAGCGTTTAAAGCGCCGTACGCGCCGAGTTACGCTCGCGGTCGCCATACCATGCGGCTGTGCCGCGTTTGACAGGCCCGCATCTCAGGCGGTTCGCGCGTTCCATGACGGCGAAAATACGTATGGGATCATCGTCGACGCGCGCCGACCGACGCGTCGCGACGCCACGGTGCCGGGAAAGTGCGCGAGTGTCTGTGCCACGAGTGACGCGACGTGAGTAGCCGGAGCCGAGTTTCTGGCAAAAACGACAACGACGACGGATCCGCAGGCTCCTGCGCCACGACGACGACGACGAGGACGACAGCAGTTGGATACGGCGGTCGCGGTAGTCCAAGGATGACGTCGGCGACACGACGCGGACGAGGTTATGGTGAGTGTCTTTAGTCTCGGATTTCACTCGTAATCCTTATCGTCGCTGGAAAAGTAGAAATTTATCATTTCCGAATTAAGGCGCGTGTTCGCGAACACGTCGACCGGTGGTGCTCGCAGCGCCTTTTCGCTTTCTCGTGTCGGAGTCGAGCGCGCGGAACGTGCTGCACTCTGACGCATGCTCCGAAAGCTGCAACTTCATTCTATTCTCTATTTTTTTTTTTTTTTTTTCGACAAACTCCTTCGCGAATTACGGCTATTAAATAATGCAAATATTTTTTTTTCAAAATGTACATCAATTGAATGAACTGGAAAAGATATTTTTCGCTTTTCTTAGAACGATATAAATTATGGCAAATTTAATTGAATACCACAATCGATGCTATGCTTGTTTATATACTGAATTAAATGAGGTAATTAAATTATAATTATAATGTGATTTTTTACAACTTTTTTGCGCTTTTTGTGAATAAATACAATCACACATATGTGTGATAAAATATATATTGGAGCAAAATTAAATTGATAAGAGAAAAAGATTATATACATATATGTATATTTGCATTATCATCGATTTTGGTAAAAACAAAAAGAGAGCGCGACATATCGTTCGATGACTCGGAAACGAGTCGCGTGAAAGACAGTTGTCCGCTCGAATGGGCCGATATCGAATAGACGGAAGTCGATATCGCGGCTTTAAAGGGAAGCAATAAATGCGACGTGTGTATTACTGATCGAACACACGTATTCATAACTATCACTTTCCTACACAGTCGCCTTTCGCATGGCGGCCAAGGGGTCAGTGCACTTAGGATCTTACGCCACGTTCGAATGCTTGTCCGCGCATGCGCGCATCTGGCGCAATATTTTTGCGACTCCGTAGGAAACTTTGCGCGCGTGTTACGCGAAAATAGACGTAATCGTTCTCCGCCTCTCTGATCTCATCACCCGTCGAATCGAGACTTTCGTAACCGGTTGATAAACGTATCGACGATCATAAAAAATTATGCCTTCTTTTTTAATATTTTTAAAAAATAGAATATCTATAAATTCATGCTCTCGCGTTACATTTTTAAATGACTTTGCGAGAGTTTTTCATTAATTTTCATTAACTTTCTCAATTTTCTAAGTTGCGATAATTTAAATGCAAAAGTATAAGGAACTGGATTTAATCAGGTTTTCTCTTTTCGATTTTATCTAAGATAATTAATCGAGATTTTTTTTCGAAAAAGAGGAAGAGAGACAAAGCGCTGGGAATCTTGATCATTTCGATGACGTTTGTTCCTTCTTTCGAGTCTTCAGGGTATGGAAAGTAATAGACAGTAGTAGGGCTCGTGAAAACCGGTTAATTCGAATAACCGGTTAAAAACAAATTTACCGATTAAAATCAATTATTTCAGTCAATTGATATTTGAGTTTTAATTTGACATTTCTTTCTTTTCTGTGTACACAATTATTATATTACTATATTATTATATTATATTAATTATATACAATTATTACATTATTATATTACAAAATCGTAACAAAAATAACAAGTAATTGAAAAAACGGCTCGATAAATAATTAAAATCGATTAACCATTTAGTCGAATATTAAACGTTTCTCTTGGTTACAACCGGGTAACCGATTTTCAATTAATCGACTAATAATCGGTTACGATCGCGAGCCCTAATAGACAGTCTGGTCGCAAAAGTGGAGCCTTAGACTCGGTTATGATTCATGGGCTGCTCGCGATAAAACGAGGCCGCTTATTTCGCGTTTCGCAAATCCGCGCATCTCTCGAACGCCGGCTCCGTTAGCCTTTGTTCGCCTCTCTCGCTCTCTCGCGTCTCGTCCTTCCTCGTCGGAGGATTTACGAGGAGCGGCATTCGGACCGGAAAAATTGGATCCCCGGATGAGATTCGATCGCTCTCCCCCGCGTTTTCTTTCTTTCTTCTCCACCCCGTCATTCCGGAGGGAGTTGGAAAGCTGCCGAGCCCTATAACCACCTGTCTCCCTCACAAAGGGAGGAAGGAAGGCGAGAGCCAACAGGTTTTAGCTCCGACACACCTGATCGAAGTCGAGGAGTGCGTCTGCCTCTTTCTCTCTTTCTCCTTATGGACGTATAGTTTCTTTTCACGCTTCTTCTCCTCCACGTAATATCGCGCCTGCTTATTCGAAGGTTTCGAGGCGTTTGTGTATAGTCGATCCATAATTGTGATTCAATTGTCATTGAAATGTACCATCTTTTAGATTCTCGGAAATGTCACCTTGCGGGATTGAAGCGTAACTTTTTAATCGAAACTTGTGTTCTCTTTGGAAATGTGGGAGATCATGGGCGTTTACAGAAGGAGGGGCATCGATAAAAAAATTAAGAATTTAATTCTCTCCTTTTGAATAAGCACTGGAATTTATTTCATAGAAATTTAAAATTTAACATAAAATTAATATAAAATATATTTAATATAATATAAACAAATATTTATTATAAAGAAATAAAAAATAAAATTTAAGAAATTTAAGGAAGAACAAAAATTAAATGATGTCCCTTCCTGGAAAAAATCCTGCGGACGCCCATGGAGAAAATGTAATATAGACGTTATACGCGACACATCTGCGTGGATTTTCCACGTAGATTACGGATCGAGTATAATAGAGAAGCTTACACAGCCAGCGGACGATAAATTGTTGTTATTTACGTATATATATAGACATTCGCGGCACGACTCGCGAACTATCGATCGTGAGCACCACTGCGTCCGCTGGCTTTGGCGCTTTAAAGAGATATACCCATATCGCCTTTAAGACTCGGGCCAAAAAAGAGGGGACTGGAGGAGGACGAGGACTGCCGGAGGGTTCTGGAAGAAGCGTATTTGGACGGTCCATAGTTCTCTCGCGATGAGAAATGTGGCAACTACGCGTTTGCGTCTCTCTCCCTTTTTCTCTCTCACTCGCACTCACGAACGCAAACACGAGAGATCAAGGTATTGTAAAATTGCTGATTGGCTTCGAGGTCATCGGCGGGAGGAATCGGACGGTCTCTATCGCGTAGCTCTTTTCTCGTCACGGATTTGTCGAAATTATTTGCCGCATCGTTCGTCAAGATTCTTTCATTTTTTTAAGGTCGGGAGGAAGGAGAATTTTTCACTCAGTCGGAATCATCGATTCGTCATACG